CACTACACACACACACTACACACCACACCACACACACTACACCACACCACACACTACACACCCACACCACACACTACACACTCACCACACACTACACACTCACCACACACTACACACACACTACACACTACACACCATACCACACACACTACACACACACACTACACACCATACCACACACACTACACACCATACCACACACCACACGATCACACCACAACACACTACACACACCACACGATACACCACACACACACCACACGATACCACACACACACACCACACGATACACCACACACACACCACACGATACACACACACACACCACACGATACACCACACGCACACACCACACCACACGATACACCACACACGCAACACACACCACACGATACTACCACACGCACACACACACCACACGATACACCACATCGATACACCACCACGCACACACACACACACGATACTACCACACGCACAACACCACACGATACCACCACACGCACCACACACCACATGATACACCACACGCACACACACACACACAATACACCACACACACACACTACACGATACATCACACGATAACCACACACACCCATGATTACACCACACACCACACGATACACCACACACACCACACGATACACCACATGCACACACACACACACGATACACCACCACGCACACACACACCACATGATACACCACACACACCCACACGATACACCACACGCACACACACACCACACGATACACCACACCGCGCACACACACCACACGATACACCACACGCCACACAACACCACCATGATACACCACACGCACACCAATGATACACCACACGCACACCACATGATACACCACACGCACACCACATGATACACCACACGCACACCACATGACACACACACGCACACCACACGACTACTTCACACACAACACTACACGATACATCACACGATACACCACACACACCCACCACATGATACACCCACACACACCACATGATACACACTGCACACACACCACATGATACACCACACACACCACATGATACACCACACCACACCAACATGATACACCACACACACCACATGATACACCACCACCACCAATGATACACCACACGCACACACCACACGATACAACCACACCACACGATACACACACGCACACACCACACGATACACCACCACACACACACCACACGATTACACCACACGCACACACCACACGATACCACCACACGCACACACCACACGATACACCACACGCACACACCCACACGCACACACCACACGATACACCACACGCACACACCCACACGATACACCACACGCCACACACCACCACACCACACGATACACACACGCACACACCACACGCCACACGAACACACACGCACACGCCACACGATACACCACACGCACCACACACACGATACAACCACACGCACACACCACACGATACACCACCGCACACACCACACGATACACCACCGCACAAACATCACACGGATACACCACACGCACACACCACACAATACACCACACGCACACACCACACGATACACCACACGCACACACCACACGATACACCACCATGCACACACCACACAACACTACACAACCACACTACACCACCACACCACACCACACACTACACACCACACCACACACCAACACTACACCACACCACACCACACACTACACCAACCATGCCACCACACACTACACCACACCACACACTACACACCATACCACACACACTACAACCATCACACACACTACCACCATACCACACCACACTACACCATACCACACACTACACCACACCACACACACTACACCACACCACACACACTACACACACCACACACTACACACACACCACACACTACACACCACACCACCACACTACACACACACACCACACACTACACACCACACCACAACCACTACACACTACACACTACACACCATACCACACACACTACATACACACACTACACACCATACCACACACACACACCACACGATACACCACACGCACACACACACCACACGATACACCACACGCACACACACACCACACGATACACACACACGCACCACACACACACGATACACACAACACACACACCACACGCACACACACACACACACACGACACACACACCACACACACACCACACGCACAGCACACACACCACACGATACACCACACGCACACACACACCCACACGATACACCACACGCACACACACACCACCCGATACACCACACGCACACACACACCACACACACACCACACACACACACACACACCACCACACACCCCACACACACACTACACGATACATCACACGATACACACACACACCACACAATACACCACACACACCACATGATACACCACACACACACGATATACACCACACACGATACACCACACACACCACATGATACACCACACACACCACACACACCACACGATACACCACACACAACCCACACGATACACACACGCACACACCACACACACGATACACCACACGCACACACACACCACATGATACACCACACACACACCACACGATACACCACACACACACCACACGATACACCACACACACACACACTACACGATACATCACACACACACACCATACATCACACGATACACCACACACACCACATGATACACCACACACACCACCCACCCACACACACCACAATACACCACACACACCACACGATCACACACACACACACCACCAAACAACACCACACGATACACCACACGATACAACACACACCACACGATACAACACACACCACACGATACAACACAACACACACATACACACCACCACACACACACACACACACACACACACACACACACACACACACACGATACACCACACGCACACACACACCACATGATACACCACACGCACACACACACACACACACAAACACACACACACACACTACACGATACATCACACGATACACCACACACACCACATGATTTACACCACACACACCACACACACCACACGCACACACACACCACACGATACACCACACGCACACACACACCACACGAACACCACACGCGCACACACACCACACGATACACCACACACCACCACACACACCACATGTACACCACACGCACACCACATAAACCACACGCACACCACATGATTACACCACACGACACCACACGATTACTTCCACACACACACTACACGATACATCACACGATACACCACACACACCACATGATACACCACACACACCACATGATACACCACACACACACCACATGATACACCACACACACCACATGATACACACACACACCACATGATACACCCACACACACACATGATACACCACACGCCACCACATGATACACACACGCACACACCACACGATACAACCACACGCACACACCCACACGATACACCACACGCACACACCACACGATACACCACACGATAACACCACACGCACACACCACACGATACACCACACGCACACACCACACGATACACCACACGCACACACCACACGCACACACACACGATACAACCACGCACACACCACACGATACACCACCACACACACACCACATGATTACACCACACACACCACATGATACACCACACACACCACATGATACACCACACACACCACATGATACACCACACACACCACATGATAACCACACACACCACATGATACACCCACACACACCACCACACCACACACATGATACACCACACGCACCACATGATACACACACACACACCACACGATACCACCACCACACGATACACAACACACGCACACACAACCACACGATACCACACACACACACACACCACACGATACACACCACACGCACACACCACACGATACACCACACGCACACACCACCACGATACACCACACGCACACACCACACGATTACACCACACGCACACACCACACGATTACACCACACGCACACGCCACACGATACACCCACACGCACACACCACACACACCTCACGCACACACCACAC